CGCGGCACAGAAGCCGCGCCGCGGGATCGCACTAGCAATCGCTCTTTGTGCGCATGTGCTGTTTGGCACTGTTGCGCAACCTGTGGAGACGAACCGCGGCAGGCACCGGATGCCACTCAAGTCCACCGGGAACGCGATCAGCCGCCCGCCCTTGGCCCGCGATTTCAGGAAACTAGTACCTCGTAGGTACTAGTTTTTAACTCCGCACCTTCGGCAGGGAGCCACGGGTTCGCCACGGGAGCACTGCGCTTCCCAGATGTTGGGGTGAGATCGCGCCCGGAAAATCTGCGGGACTCCCGTGCCTCTCCCGCAGCAACTTTGCCGTGTGACCGGGGCCATACTTTTGTTCTAGGATAAGCTTCATGGACTTCGTGGATAGTTTGATGTAGTGGTTTAGAACGTGGACTCTAATCTGGGAGAACCGGGTTTGATTCCCCACTCCTCCACGTGCAGCTGCTGGTGTGACCTTGGGTCAGTTACAAGTGCTTTCAGAGCTGTTCTCGCACCAGCTGTTCTCGAAAGAGCTCTCTCAGCCCCACAACAAGGAAGGGGAATGGAAAGGAGATTGTGAGCTGCTCTGAGACTCCTTTGGGTAGTGAAGGTAAAGGTAAAGGTTCCCTTGCTCGAAAGCCAATAAAATCCGACTCTAGGGTTGCGGTGCTCATCTCCGTTTCAAAGCCGAAGAGCCAGCGCTGTCCGAAGACGTTTCCGTGGTCATGTGGCCGGCATGACTAAACACCAAGGCGCACGGAACGCTGTTACCTTCCCACCGAAGTGGTACCTATTTATCTACTTGCAATTTCTTGCTTTCGAACTGCTAGGTTGGCAGGAGTTGGAACTAGAGATGGGAGCTCACTCCATCATGCGGCACACTCAGGTCTCGAACTGCTGAACTACTGACCTTCCGCAGCCTGCAGTTCAGCGTCTTAACCACTTGAGCCACCGCAGCTCAAGTAGTGAAGGGCGGGGTATAAATCCAATTTCTTCTTCCTCTTTAGATGCACGGTCCATTGCATTAACAATGCTGCATAATTTTCTTCTTCATAACTTAGTGTGTGTGTCTGTGCATGTGAGGGAACCCTCTCTATATCGGGGTCCCCGACATGGGGCCCATGGGGCCCGCCGATGCCTTTTCTAGTGCCCGCCAAGTGTTTTTAGATAGCGGGTGGGGCTTTTGACCAGCAAGGCTTCTGATTGGTCACTGGAGATTGGCTGTGCAGATTTTTCTTTTGAAATGTGGCCACCACATCCCAAGGATCTTCTTTGTGTGACTGCAGGTAAGCTGTGGGAACCGCACTGGCTCTGCCTCCCAGGGCAGCCATTTTCTGGCCACCATGCTGTGTCAGAATTCCAGAGGTACCCACAAGCTTGGAAGGGTCGGGGGCCCCTACCCTACATACATCTGGCAAAGCAGGGTCCGAGCCAGAAATACTTCTGCTAGAATAAAACCGGATTAAACTTGAAGATGCCACCAGATTCCTGCTTCTTTGGGGGTGCAACAGAGTTACACAGCTCGGCTACCCATTGGGAAATGTGAGGTAAAGGTTTCCCTTGCTTGAAAGCCAGTCAAATCCGACACTAGGGGGCGGTGCTCATCTCCGTTTTCAAGGCAAAGAGCCAGCACTGTCCGAAGATGTTTCCATGGTCATGTGGCCGGCATGACTAAACACCAAGGTACACGGAACGCTGTTACCTTCCCACCGAAGTGGTACCTGTTTATCTACTTGCAATTTCTTGCTTTCGCACTGCTAGGTTGGCAGGAGCTGGGACCAGAGAAGGGAGCTCACTCCGTCATGCGGCACGCGGGTCTCGAACTGCCAGACTACGGAGCTTCCGGTCTGCAGCTCAGCGTCTTACCCTCTGAGCCACTGTGGCCCGGAAACGTATCCTCAAACTTGCCTTATACCAAGTTGGATCACTGGTTCCCCGTGCTGTCTGCCACCAATGTTTTAAGCAGTCGTTTTCCAAAAACCCTTTAAATGGGGTGGGGGGGACCAACCCAGAAACTGGGATAGAACCTGCGGATTTCCCCAAGCGTGCTCCCCCTGAGCCACAAGCCCTCCCCTAATTGTATAGTTCTTGACAAAACATTCATAGAAATGGAGCAGGTTGCCAGGTGATAAACCTGGTTTCCTTGGGCTGCAGTTCGGCACTCATCTACAATGTCGGTGTCAAATAAATGCCTTTAATGGTCAAAAGGATGTATTCCAAACGAGGAAAGGAAACGATCAAGAACGGCTGATGTGAAATAGATGGATGGTCCATACATTGCCAGCCACGTCTCCCGGCTGCCAGATGGCGAAGAAGTGCATTGTGGGCTTTCTGGGTAGAGTCAGCCAGTCATTAATTTGCCTTATTCCCCCCCACACACACCCGCTTATCAAAATAACAAATAGCAGCAGCAGTGCCAGAAGAGATGATCTTATCACTGGTTTGGTGATAAAAGGGCACAGGGCCACGTTTATTAGATCAGACAGGAAGCTAGTCTCTAGGGAATAGTGAGCCCGACATCCAAATACATTGTGGCCCCTTCCTTCAGTGTGTCAAATGCCATCACCTCCCGGCCAACTTATGCTGACCCCAGCAAGCGGCTTTCCAAGACAAGGGAAAAGCAGAGAAGAAGAAGAAGGAGATTGGATTTATACCCTGCCCTTCACTACCCAAAGGTGTCTCAGAGGGGCTTACAAACTCCTTTCCCTTCCCCTCCCCACAACAGACACCCTGTGAGGTTGGTGGGGCTGAGAGAGTTCTTGACAGAAACTGCTCTTTTTTCAAGAAGAGCTCTTATCAGAACTACGGCTTGCCCAAGGTCATCCAACCAGGTGCAAGTGGAGGAGCGGGGAATCAAACCCGGCTCTCCCAGATTAGAGTCCGCGCACCCCACCTGCGCACTTAACCACTACACCAAACTGGCTCTCAGAGGGGTTGGCCATTGCCTTCCTCTGCAGAGTCTTCCTTGGTGGTCTCCCATCTGAGACCCATGGTGACCCCAGCAAGGGGCTTTCAAGGCAAGTGAGAAGCAGAGGTGGTTGGCCATTGCCTTCCTCTGCAGAGTCTTCCTTGGTGGTCTCCCATCCAAGACTTATGGTGACCCCAGCAAGGGGCTTTCAAGGCAAGTGAGAAGCAGAGGTGGTTGGCCATTGCCTTCCTCTGCAGAGTCTTCCTTGGTGGTCTCCCATCCAAGACTTATGGTGACCCCAGCAAGGGGCTTTCAAGGCAAGTGAGAAGGAGAGGTGGTTGGCCATTGCCTTCCCCTGCAGAGTCTTCCTTGCTGGTCTCCCTTCGAAGTACTAACCCTGCTTAGCTTCCAACTTATGGTGACCCCAGCAAGGGGCTTTCAAGGCAAGTGGGAAGCAGAGGGGGTTTGCCATTGCTTTCCTTTGCAGAGTTTTCCTTGGCAGTGTCCCTTCCAAGTACTGACCTTTCCAGATGCATCTCTTAAGAAATGTTAATGGGAGATGGGCCAGTTTGTCCCCCCACACTTGATATGCAAAGGCTCTGCTGGCTGTCAGTGTAATTACAGCACTGAATCTGAGACGGCTTCCAACATGGCGATAAACCATTGTTTATAACCTGTGATCAAACACCAGTCAGTTGTGAAGACAAAAGACTACAACAAACTGGGATTTCAGACTAGAGTAAGCAGCTGTTTTGTTAACCCCCCCCAGTTTGTTGTCGTGGTTAGGAGCGTGGACTCTAACCTGGGAGAACCAGGTTCGATTCCCCGCTCCTCCACATGCAGCCAGCTGGGTGACCTTGGGCAAGCCAGAGTTCTCGGCAAGTGAGAAGCAGAGGGGGTTTGCCATGGCTTTCCTTTGCAGAGTTTTCCTTGGCAGTGTCCCCTTCCAAGTACTGACCGTTCCAGATGCATCTCTTAAGAAATGTTAATGGGAGATGGGCCAGGTTGTCCCCCCACACTTGATATGCAAAGGCTCTGCTGGCTGCCAGTGTAATTACAGCACTGAATCTGAGACAGGCTTCCAACATCGTGATAACCTGTGATCAAACACCAGTCAGTGGTGAAGACAAAAGAGTACAGCAAACTGGGATTTCAGACTAGAGCATGCAGCTGTTTTGTTAACCCCTTCAGTTTGTTGTAGTGGTTAGCAGCGTGGACTCTAACCTGGGAGAGCCGGGTTTGATTCCCCGCTCCTCCACATGCAGCCAGCTGGGTGACCGCAAGCCAGAGTTCTCTCAGAGCTGTTCTCTCAACAGCAGTTCTCTCAGAGCTCTCTCAGCCCCACCTACCTCACAAGGTGCCTGTTGTGGGGAGGGGAAGGGAAGGAGATTGTAAGCTGCTCTGAGACTCCGAGTGAAGGGCGGGGTATAAATCCCATCTCCTCCTCCTGAGCCGGCCGAGGGCGGGTAAAGGTAAAGGTTCCCTTGCTCGAAAGCCAGTCGAATCCGACTCTAGGGTTGCGGTGCTCATCTCCGTTTCAAAGCCGAAGAGCCAGCGCTGTCCGAAGACGTTTCCGTGGTTTCAAAGCCGAAGAGCCAGCGCTGTCTGAAGACGTTTCCGTGGTCATGTGGCCGGCATGACTAAACACCAAGGCGCACGGAACGCTGTTACCTTCCCACTGAAGTGGTACCTATCTATCTACTTGCAGTTTCTTGCTTTCGAACTGCTAGGTTGGCAGGAGCTGGAACTAGAGACGGGAGCTCACTCCGTCTTGCGGCACCCGGGTCTCGAACTGCTGAACTACTGACCTTCCACAGCCTGCAGTTCAGTGTCTTAACCACTTGAGGGCGGGATAACAAATTAAATAAATCAAATCAGATCCTTGTGGTTTGTTCACCAACCACAGTTAGTTGAGTGGCACCATCCCTGGCCTAAGCACACATATAACCTGGGGAACATGTCACCTGAACCCATGACGCTGCCTCACAGTGAATGAGACCACTGGTCCATCAAGGTCAGCATTGTCTATTCAGACCGGTAGTGGCTCACCAGGGTCTCGGTCGGAGGTCTTTCACATCACCTAATGCCTGGTCCTTTCAAATGGAAATACCGGGGATTGAACCCAGGACCTTCTGCATGCAAAGCAGACGCTCTGCCACTGAGCCACAGCCCCTCATTGCGGGAAGGCAAGAGAAAGGGCAAGAAGTAGACAAACCACGCTTGACAGACAATTCGGTTTTTTAATTTACTGCTCTGTTGTTCACTGCCCTGTCCTTTTAACTGGTTGTCATTCTAATCATTCATCAGGAGTCCGCTTTCACTGAAAACGGTCTTGTCCGCTGTTTTTATTGACAGAAAGTTTGGAAAGGCATTTGGAAAAACCACTTTGGCTTGTGCAATGAGATTTATAGATACCATAAATCAATCTACCCGTCTCTGCATGAGTCACTGGAGTGATGAGTCCCTTTCCAATCAGGATGTGTAGAACAGTGACTCACACAGAAGCAGAAGGGCATTCTTGTTGTTGTTCAGTCGCACAGTCGAGTCCGACTCTTCGCGACCCCATGGATCATCTCCCGCCAGGCCCTCCTGTCTTCCGCCGTCCTCTGAAGTTGGCTCAATTTCATGTTCGTTGCATCGATGACACTGTCCAACCATCCCATCCTTTGCCGTCCCTGTCTTCTTTGACCTTCAGTCTTTCCCAGCATCAGGATCTTCTCCAGTGAGGGCTCCCTTCTCATGTGATGGCCAAAGTATTTGAGCTTCAGTTTCATTATCTGGCCTTCCAGGGAACAGTCAGGGTTGATTTCTTTTAGGATTGACTGATTTGATCTTTTTTGCATTCTTACTCTTGCCCATAAACTGCTGTTGGTTGTAAAAATGGTCTGTACTTCCAGTTCGGACATATGAAGCTGCCCTTTGTTGGGCGGCCCCGGTCCCGGAGACCTCAGGCTACCCTGATCTTGTCACACCTCAGAAGCTAAGCAGGGTCAGCCCTGGTTAGTGCTTGGATGGGAGACCGCCAAGGAAGCCCAGGGCTGTTACGCAGAGCCAGGCAATGGCAAACCACCTCTGTTTGTCTCCTGCCTTGGAAATCCAATGGGTTCGCCATAACTGGGCTGCGACTTGGTGGCACTTCCCGTCTCATAGTGTTGCCAGCTCAGGGATGGGAAACAGCTGGAGATTTGGGGAGGGTGGAGCCTGAGGAAGGCGGGGCTTGGAGAGGGGAGGGACTTCAACGGGGCATTGTTTCATACACTCCACCTTCCAAGTCAGACATTTTCTCCAGTTGAACTGACCTCTGTTGCTGAAAAGTACGCAGACGGACGAGTGATTTCAGCTTAGCGTACTTTATTAGATCAGGAACAAGACAACTTTAGCCGGCTCGCAGGCCAGCTTATATTCCCTGTGAAACGCAACCCATAACGCACACCCACCACTTCCCAATAGGTTATTTACAGTGGCCGAGAGTACCATAGGCTCTCGGCCAGGAACCTAGCCCACTGATTGGCGCGGGCTAGGATCCGCATAGTCCATTGTCTCTTTAAGCGAAGCTCGACGTTTGCGCTTGACCACGTGGAGCCCAAGCTGGCCACGCGGTCTGAACTGGGTATATTACAGTTGCCTTGGGATCAGTTGTAACCCCACCACCTCTTGGAGGGTTAGCAAACCTATTCCACCACTCCCTTCTACTGGGGTCTGTTATGTATTTATTCATTTGTTTACTTCATTTACACCCAAGGGAGACCCAAAGTGGTTTACAACATTCTTCCCTTCTTCATTTTATCCTCACAACAACCCTGTGAGGTAGGTTAGGCTGAGAGTGTGTGATCTGTGCCTCCCCATCCTAGTCCGGGCCCCTAGCCACTGCAGCACAGGCTATCTAGCACAGTCCTAGCTTCTGTTTGGTCATGGCTCACCAGGATTAAGCTAGGAACTGAACCTTAAGGTTCTCTATCCAGGTCACGTTTATTTATTTATTTATTTGTGTTGATTTCAGTCAGCCTTTCTTACTGAGACTCAAGGTGGATAACACAGTCAATATAATCAACAGGTCGGGACATTCAATAAACCAGGGGTCCCCATGGCACCTGCCAATGCCTCTTGTTCTTGGCCACTCAGTGGGTTCTCTTCTCTTCATGAAATGCTGGCTGTTTTGCTGCTGCTTCCCGAACCTCTACAAGATTTGGTAATTATCATCCTTCAAACTATTTCTGCTCCTCCCTGCCTTTAGTTAGCTTGAGTGATTTTAAATGTGTTTGTGAGTGTGTTTCTGTCCCTTTATTCTCTTTTAATAAAATCCCTTTCCCGTTGAACATCTGCCTGGTTTATTTTGAGAGTTCTCTTAAGGGAAAAATCCATGGAAAGATTGGTGGAGAATCCCCCAGTTAGCCCATCTTGCTCTGTCTCCTTAACGCTAATTCCCCCAACTAAGTAGGTGACCGCCTCTTTGGGTAACCGGGCTGGCTCTGCCTCTTGTGGCAGCCATTTTGTGGCTGCACCCACCAGAATTCCAAGGGTGCCCCCAAGCTCAAAAAGGTTGGGGACCCCTGCAATAAACAGAAAACTTTAAAAAAACCAAAAAAAACAGAACTGAAGCAAAGCAGACATGTTAACACGACATATTAAACAATACAAAAATTACGTCATAGGATCCAACTGACAGCAAACTATACACAGTAGTATAAACCACAGTCCCTAATCATTGGTACAAGTGACTTTGTGAATCATCAACCAAAAGGGAGACTGCGACAAAGAAATCGGAAGGAGATGGCGCTAGAAAAGATTCCTAAGTGTAAGGATGTGTCAGTAGTGACCAAGATCAAGATAAATCATGTCACAGTATTCTCTGTTACTATGTCAGATCATGGAAGCTAAGCAGGGTTGACCCTACTTAGTATTTGGATGACGGACCACCAATGAAATCCAGGGTCACAACGGAGAGCTGTGAACCACCTCTGAACCAGGCCCGTAGCCACAGGCAGGGGTCATTTCCTGCAGGAGCACACAGGAGCGGAGCTCCGGCAGTAAAGAGCCCAGGGGGCGGGCACATGCAACAAGCCCCGCCCCCTGCTCCCAGCAGCCCTCAGTCAGAGCAAGAAGCAGCCAGGTAAGTTGCAGAGCTCCCCCCCCCTCCGCCCACAGTCCAAAACAGTCCAGTGGCACCTTTAAGACCAGGTTTTATTCAGGTACAAGCGGGGCTTGTTGCATGTGAGGACAGAGCTGCACGTTCCCCGCCCCTCCCCAATAGCTAGCAATCCAGAACAGTCCAGTGGAGCCTGAGCGGTGGGTGTTGCCTTCTGACACACTTCCGGTGATGTCAGGGGGTGTCGCATATGCAAATGAGTTATGCTAATGAGTTATGCTAATGAGCTCCTGCACCTCTTTTTCTACGAAATGACCCCTGGCCAAAGGGACCCCTTGGGGGCAATACTCCCTCCCAAATTTGCCCTGCCCCCTCCTCTCCCGGTTTTCCCCTCCCAGTCCCTTTTGATGGATTGAGGGGTTTTTTTAGCTGCCCCCTCATGAAAAAATTTCTGGCTACGGGGCTGTTCTGAAGTCTCTCGCCTTGGAAACCCCATGGGGTTGCCAGAAGTCAGCTGTGACTTAACAACAAAAAACATATGTGTGTAGGAATGAAAGCTGTACAAGGAAGGAAGCTGACAGGAAGAAATTAGATTCATTTGAAGTGTAGTGTTGAAGCAGAGTTCTGCAGAATCGGTGGACTGCCAAAAGAACAAATCTGTGGGTTCTAGATCAAATCTAGCCTGGACTCTCCCTAGAAGCTAAAATGGTGACTAAACTGAGGCTCTCGTACTTTGGTCACTTTACGAGAAGACAAGAGTCACTGGAAAAGACAATAATGCTAGGGAAAGTAGAAGGCGGCAGGAAGAGAGGAAGACCCAACACGAGGTGGATTGACAGCCCAGGAAGCCATGGGGGCCCTCAGTTTGCAAGACCTGCGCAAGGCTGTTAATGAGAGAACGTCTTGGAGAACATTAATTCATAGGGTCTCCATAAGTTGCAAGCAAGTTTGGTGTAGTGGTTAAGTGCGCGGACTCTAATCTGGGAGAACAGGGGTTGATTCCCCACTCCTCCACTTGCACCTGCTGATGTGACCTTGGGTCAATCACAAGCTCTGGCACAGCTGTCCTTGAAAAAGAGCAGTTTGTGTCAGAGTTCTCTCAGCCCCACCCACCTCACAGGGTGTCTGTTGTGGGGAGGGGAAGGGAAAGGAGTTTGTAAGCAGCTCTGAGACTCCGAGTGAAGGGCGGGGTATGAATCCAATCTCTTCTTCCTCTTCCTCTTCTTCTTCTTCTTGATGAGGTTTAACACGTTGCACAGCTTTGTGAATCATTTTGTGCAGTGCTCTACCACATCGATAGGCTGTCTCCTTGATGTTTAGTGAACAGCGAGGGGGAGGATTGTATTGCAGCCAGAAAGGAGCTCCTGAGTTTAAGGATATCATCAGTCATGTGGGAGGGATGACCAAACTGCTGGAAGCTAGTTGCAACCATATTCAAGGGGGGCAAAAATATATTAGACATTGTGGAGTGGGATCTAGCGAAGAAGGAGGCATCCACATCTGTCCGTTTCTTGTTCTCCAGATGGCCCAGTTGCAGTGGCCGAATGTTGTTTCCTTCCTTGCTTTCACACGAACGCACGAGTCTGCCTTATACTGAATCAGACCCAGGGCCGGTGCCAGGCTTTTTGCACACTAGGCAAGGCTACCTTCTGGCGCCCCCCTCCCCCCTCAAACATAAATGCATTTTAGGAAGAATGAAAGACAAAATTTGAAATTGCTTATCATCATCATCATCATCATCATCATCATCATCATCATCATCATCATCATCATCATCATCATCATTATTATTATATTATGACCTGACTGGCTTCCATGACACACTAGGGACTTGAATCTTGCTGTCCCTGGTCCTAGTTTGACATTCTAACCAGTTCACTACACTAGTTCAACTCATTCAGCCACTGAACTCTTTGGGTGATCTCTATCCAGTCACTACCTCAAAGCAAGGATTGGAGGTTTGCTGCAAGGAGAAAATACAGCTGAAGGAACCAAGTATGCCACACACACATATGGAGCAGAGGTCCATCAGTGGCTATTAGCCACAAGGTATAGATAGGGACTCTGGGGCAAGTGATGCTCTGTCT